CGCTCATGCTAGTGTTCTGTTAGAACTAATTCTGGATGAGAGAATAATTGAATGGAATCCTGTAGCGGACGAGTAGCAATCCTCTAATTGTGGGAACAACAGAATAAACCTTTGGCCTTGTAACAGGTATGTGCTGTTATGGCTTTTACCGATTTTCTGATCTCCACGGCTCTCTGAAAAAATTCGCAGACGAGTGCGACGTGGTCGGCATAAGTGTGAACGCATCCAAAACGAAGAGCCTCGTGCTTTCTCATTCTGTGCCCGTTGCCTTCTTCGGATAAACAGAGAAACAGTGGAGCAGGTGAAGAAGTTCAAGTGCCTCTGGGTCGTGCTTTCAGGTGATGCAACACTTGAAGAAGAGATCGAGCAGTGGAATAAAGTAGTGGCGTGAAATAGCCTGATCCGTTGTGACAAAAGCAATGCTGGGTCTGAAGAGTAAGGACTCGTTATTCAAGTCGATCTTTATTTCCATGCCTACCTACTGTCATGAATTTTGGGCCATGATCGAAAAACATTGATCCCGGGTAAAAGCGGCTGAAATAGACCTTCTGAGACGAATGGCTGAGCTTAAGCGTCTCAACCCGGCTCGGAGTATAGATGTTTGAGATAGGCCTGATGTACAGGCGCTGCTTCTTCAGATTTAGAAGTCACAGCTGCGATGGTTTGGGCACATGTTGCAAATGCCCCCAGAAAGGAGAACGAGACAAATCTACTTGTCCAGTCGACCCAGTGGACGGCCAAGTTTAACGTGGCGCAAGTATACTCTAGTCACCGGCCGAAACATCAACGCTGGCACTGGATTGAGAACGTTGGAGCTATGTTTGATGCTGTCTGCCTCTGCGACCTGAGAGGAGACGCGGTCATGGAAAATAAATGAGGTTTATACTCGGTTTGAAATCCGAGATCCAGGTCACTGCTACATTTATCTGTTGATAGGCCTTTTCATGAAATTCTGGCCACAGGTTTTCACTTGATCGGTGCATAGGAATGTTCGCCTTCCAACTTTATGCCGCTCTAATTCCTTCGTTCATTACTTTCATGAACTTTCGAAGAAAGATACATGGAAACTCGTCACGGCTGCACTCTTCCGGCTGCATTGGCGAAGTTTCCCACTTTATTTTGTAGAACTTTTGACGGATAGATGGTTGAGTTTTACCAGCGATATCCGTATCGTATCTTTTTTGTTTAAAAATAACGTTGAGACAAGTCCACATTTGGCAGATACGTCGTTTTTATGTACTTTTCTAAGCTTGTGCATTATTGACGTTCGATTCATTTTCCGATTTAGTTGCAAGAAACGTCATTTTCCCAGTTCTGTTTAATTTTTTTTTCAAAAACCTATTCAGTTACTGGGTACGCTTTATAAATTTTTGCTTTAAATTTCTCTGTATGGCCTATAATATATTCGGATGATCGTTTGTTGAACATCATAATCATCAGCCTTTGTCAATTCAGTGCTAGAAGAAGGCGTCTCTAAGATTTTGCCACAGAACTCTGTTTTTTGCCGTTGCCGTCCAACTTGATCCAGCGAACTTCTTCAACTCATCATGCAATCGAACTGAGGGTCTTCCTGCGGGCAGTCGATTCTCACATTTTTCAGTATATTCGGGCATGATGATTATATAAAGAATGAAATAAAACAGAAACAGTAGCACCAGTAAGTGGTCATAGTCGGCTTCGATCTCCTTTTCCTTCTGCAAGAAATTCATCTCAAATTGCCGAACAACGGTAGAAAGTCACTGGTTTGGAGTATGCATACTTGAATGGGTTAGAGATACGGCCATGCTGCCTGGTGCAATGAATCCTTGGAGCTGCAATTCGTCTTAGCCGACTCCATAGTTGGCTATCCAGTATAATAAATAACACAAAATCTAAACTTTGTTGCAACTGATCAATATCATGAATTTGTTTAAAATCAGTTTTAGAGAGGCTAAGCGCTGGCTAACGCATTCGGTGTATGAATTCATTGTCTTTAGATTTATGTTAGTACGCAACTAATGCTGTCACTTGAAACATCGTCAATTATGAGCAAGATACTGCTGTTAACACATCAACGCTGGTGATCAAGTAAATACTACGGAACGGTGGTCTTGTTTAAATGTATCACGCTACAGAACTGGTAGTAAAGGGCAGTGGAATTACTCATTAAATTTGATACTGGAAGAGTTAAGCGCTTTTTGGCTCTTTCTAATGTACATACCAAAATGATATTTTTCGATTATGCGGTTGCACATAAGTAGTCCCAACTTCTGCTCATTGTTCATGATGAGTAAGATAACCTAACTGAACAGATGTCTGCGGATAACCACGCAATCGGTTGGTGGTTTGCCTCGTACTTTAGAGAGGAACCAAGTTTGAACCAGGGCTGCTAATTCTCTCACTGACTGTCAATTTTTTTGAGCAAGGATTTACTCCAATGTGCTCCGGTTGAACCAGCCGAAAACGGGCAACAGGTCGTTCACCTACAAATAATAGGAACAGCATGGTACTTCTGTATGGTGGTGCCGAAGCGTGAAAGACATAGGACTATGCTCTCTCATACAACAGCCTTTCAGCTGCACTTTACCTTAACCTCCCTAAAGCTGATTGAAAATCAGCACAAGGCGAAAAGGTAACTTTAAAAATATCGAATATGCTTAGTACTGCAGGTAATACAGTGCCATGATGAGCTTACATGCCCCCTATGCAATTAGAAGTATAGATGCAGCGCAATACACTCTGCACCACGTTTCTGCCTGACGTCATTACAACAGTAACGTAACAACAG